GAGAGGAGTTGAACCCTCGGCAGCAGGGAGGGGATGCTGGAGAGGAAAAGCGGAACTTCCCCCAGCCCACGCTGTTCTGCACCCTATGATAAACACCACATGTGCCCTAGGAAGCCACACGTGTGTCGCCGGCTCCCAACACGAGGATGGGACCTCAGATGCTGGCGCGGGTTCCCAGAAAGGCTCAGAGCTGAGGATCTCCGGGGAATTCCCACAGAGCCTGGGGGGCACGGCCTCCCTCAGATGGCGCCTGCACGTGGACACCCGACCTTCGTCGAGGTGATGCTGCACACCTGAGCTTTCCCATTTTCCAGATTTCCCTGTAGGTGATTTGACTTCACAGCATGACCTTTTTATACATTTATATCTGGTATTTGTTCAGCCCTTAGAAGTGTCCTGAGGCCAGATGCAGTGGCTCATGCCTGCAGTCCCAGCCCTGTAGGAGGCCTAGGTGGACGGATCGCCGGAGCTCTGGAATTTGAGACCAGCCTGGCCAACATGCTGAAACCCCGTCTCTACTAAACATTAAAAATTAGCCAGACATGGTGGTGGGTGCCTGTAGTCCCAGCTACTCAGGACGCTGAACCCAGGTTGCAGTGAGCCGAGATCACACCACTGCACTCCAGCCTGGTCAACAGAGCAAGACTGCCTCAAAAAGAAAAGTGTTCTGTAATAAAACTGAAAGGATACCGCTCTGGGCATCCCCGATAATTGTTCTGCTTTGGGAAAGGTTCCTGCACTGCTGAGGTTTAGGGGCACTGGAAAGCAGAAGCCAAGCCTCAAAATCCCACGCGGAGACTTCGGCCTCCTCCGGGAGGGAAGCCAGAGCTGAGCACCCGCGGGAGATTAAAGAGAAAGGAGGCGGTGAGATCCTGACAAAGCCGCAGTCTCAGGCAGCGGGCGCAGCTCAGAACAGGCTGTGCCAGGGGCTGGAACAGGAGCCTCGCCGCCTGCCAGGTGGCACAGAATCGTCCACTCCCTGATGCTGGGGCCATCCGCTCTCATGGGAGAGAAACGTGAGGCCCCTGGCTCGTTCCACACACAACCTAAGCGCCAGATGGATGAGAGGCCTACGCATGAGTAGATGCCGGGAACGTGAGACTCGAACGTGGCAGGATATCCTCTGCCCACGAATCCAGAAGCTCACTCAGTCCGGGGAGAACGGTTCCAAGTTGATAAACTCGGGTTTTAGAACGTCGGGAGCACAGAGAGGCAAGCAGCTACTGACGGGAGAGAGTAACTGGGTGCATGCCAAGGGCTCGGGACGCAAAACTGCGAGAAATCTAACAGATGAGAAGGCGTTCCCGCAAACAACGCACAGGCCGGGCCCGGCGGCTCACGCCTGTCATCCCAGGACGTTGGGAGGCTGAGGCAGGTGCATCACCTGAGGTCAGGAGCTCAAGACCAGCCTGGCCAACGTGGTGAAACCCGGTCTTTACTAAAAATAAAAATAAAAAATAGCTGGGCATGGTGGCAAACTCCTACGGTCCCAGCTACTTGGGAGGTTGTGGCAACAGAATCGCTTGAACCTGGGAGGCGGAGGTTGCAGTGAGCCAAGATCACGTCACTGCAATCCTGCCTGGGCAGCAGAGCAAGACTCCGTCTTAAAAAAAGAAAATAAAAACACCCAGGGCATGATGGCTTATGCCGAGGTGGGTGGATCATGGGGTCAGGAGATTGAGACCATCCTGGTCAGCGTGGTTAAACCCCGTCTCTACTAAAAATACAAAAAAATTAGGGCATGGTGGTGGGCGCCTGTAGTCCCAGCTACTTGGGAGGTTGAGGGAGGGGAATGGCTTGAACCTGGGAGGTAGAGGTTGCAGTGAACTGAGATTGCGCCACTGCACTCCAGCCCGGGCAACAGAGCAAGACTCCATCTCAAAATAATAATAATAAAAATAAAATAACACGACGAAGGAAGGGAACCTGAACAGATTACGTCACGGACGGACCCTGAGTGAAACAGGCCCAGGCCAGTCGGAAGGATGATGTTGCATCATCCCATCTGTAGGCAATGCTAGATTTGGGAGAGCCGTCCAGGCAGAGAGTAGGTGGTGGGTGCCAGGGGCTAGGCGGGGAGTCTGTGTAAGGGGGACAGAGTGTCTGTCTGGAGTGATGAGGCGTTCTGGGGGTGGACGGTGGCAATGGACACACACATGAAGCTGCTGAACTATGCACTTCTTAGTGGTTGAGACAGTGAATTTTATGTGTATACAATAAACCCCAAAACAGACATGCATGCCGTACCGCAAATCCAGAGGAGGTTGGTTGGTTGGCTGGTTGGTTTGAGACGGAGTTTCACTCTTGTTGCCCAGGCCGGAGGACAGCGGTGCGATCCCGGCTCACTGCAACCTCCGCCTCCCAGGTTCAAACAATTCTCCTGCCTCAGCCTCCCGGGTAGCTGGGGTGACCGGCGCACACCACCACGCCGGGCTAATTTTGTATTTTTAGTAGGGACGGGGTTTCTCCATGTTGGTCAGTCTGGTCTTGAACTCCCGACCTCAGGCGATCCGCCCATCCTGGCCTCCAAAGTGCTGGGATGACGGGTGTGAGCCACCGCGCCTGGCCAGAATAGGTTTCACAAAGATTTTCTTGGTGTTTTTGTTGTCGTTGTTTTAGACGGTCTTGCTGCGTTGCCCAGGCTGGAGGGCAGTAACACGGTTGTAGCGCACCACACTCCCAGCCTCCCCAGCTCAGGCAGTCCTCCCGCCTCCGCCTCCTGAATAGCTGGGACCACAGGCACACACCACCACGCCCCATGCCTGGCTCCTTTTTATATTTTTATTGAAGAGATGGGGGTCTCACTGTGTTGGCCAGGCTGGTCTCAAACTCCTGAGCTCAAGCCGTCTGCCCACCTCGGCCTCCCAAAGTGCTGGGATGACGAGTGTGAGCCCCCGCGCCCGGCCTACAAGGGTTCTCATTCCTGCTTTGTCTAAAGGTGAAAAAGTTTTGGGAAATCTACGCATCCTTTAATAGAGAATCACTAAGTGAAATGAGGCGGCATCACGGGTGGAGCATGACAGCAGCACAGCGCCAAGCCGTGTGGGTAAAGACGGCGGACCCATCTTCCGTCCTCTCAGCCCCTCCCAAGTCCCTGCTGTATCACAAAGGGCTGCTGGTTGGTTTTAAAGCACAAGCCACAGAATGGAGAGAATGGGTGGCCGGAGGGCAGGCCGAGGTGGTGAGGGCCCTGCTGGCCTATCACCATGGTAGCCCTGGCACCCACGGGCAGGTGAGCTGGGAGCTGGAGGCGTGAGCAGCGTCTGCACGGAGCCATCTCCTCTGTGCGCCGGGCTCGGGGCGTGGGGCTCAAGGGGTAGGGGGCCTCTTCGACTTGCAGGAGGCAGAGGCACGGGTGGCGGTCGAAGGAGGCTGTCGCAGGGCAGCCGGGGTGAGCGCGGCAGGGTCGGTTTTGGCTGTTTCTACCCCGTGTGCCGTCATATCTGTCTGGGCCTTGGTGTGGGTACAGGGACTAATGCTCTGGGGAGGGCATGTGCCAGGAGGGCAGGAGGGAGACACGGCTGGACTGTCCCCTCACACCATCTGAAGAAGGCTTGGGGGGGAGGGGGCCAGCGGGCTCTTGTCTGCCAGCCTCAGCCACCTGTGGGGTGACAGAGCTGACAGGGGCACTTCCAGGGACCAGGGCGCAGAGGTGACGGGGGCACTTCCAGGGACCAGGGTGCAGAGCTCCTGGGGGCACTCACAGGGCAGCAGCAGCCTTGTGTCCTGTTGGCCCACATACTGCAGCCTCACCCATGGCCAAGCTGCCAGTTAGACACCTGGTCAGAGTGGGCTGGGGGGCCATGAGCGAGAGGTGTTGAGGGGAGCCTCCTCCGCTCTCAGGATGTGGGGCTCGTTGCAGGGGGGTTGAGGCAAGGCCTCCCCTGGCTGGAGAGCTCAGCCTGAGAGCGGGGCTTGCCCTTCCTCACACCACGTCCTCACCGGTCCTTGGTCCTAGAGGCCCTGGGTGTCCACCTTGGATCAGGACCCACAGGAAGGCCAGGGAGGAGGAGGGGGCAGGGCCTGGGTGGGGCTTCGGTCCAAGCCTCCCGGGATAAGGGCATAGGAGTGGCAGGGGGGCCAGCCAGAGGGACCTGGATGCAGCACTCCTCCCCTGGAAAGCCCGGGGGTGGATGTCACCCCCCAATTCCCCAGTGGGAAGGCCCTGCGTCTCCCCGCCACATGCAGGTCAGGATGCAAGCCCAGCCTTTAGACAAGAGAGTTTATTTCAGACTCAGCCTCCACTCAGGCCCAGGAGCCAGTGAGAGCAGGCCCCGTGCCCACAGTGCCCACCACCAGCTCCGGGAGCTCGCCTGCTGCTATGTGCTGAGGGGCTGCACGCGCTGAGGGGGCTGTGCAAAGGGCCTGTCAGGCTCCGGGGCCGAGGACAGTGTGACGGTCGCCACCAAGCAGTTCTACTCTACCTGTTATTGCATTTATACGCTGGATAGACGCAGAGGGTGCCGGGTGCAGGCTGGAGGGGCAGTCTAGCGGGGCGGGGTGGGCACAGCTTCCAGGGGCCCTCGACATCCCTGCCTCCCCGACAGCCTCAGGGCTCCCCTGGAGCACAAGCTGGGGAAGGCGACCCTTGGGAAGCCCCCAACACAACCAGGCTTCAGGCTCCGTCTTTCCACCCAGCCAGGGTCGGGTGGTATGGGGAGGGACCACCCCAGGTCGGTCCCACTGCCTCGGCCCAGGCAGAACCCATCCCGGCACCCCAACCTGCACTCAGAGACCAGCCCTGGGGGCCCGGATCACCCTGCCCAGGGGGCCACACACAGGATCCATTCCTTTCTCATGGCTCCCCAGCTGTGCCCCCTCCAGGCATCCGTGCTGTGGACCCGGGAGCTTGGGCTCCTTCTGCCCTGGAGGCTGGGGAAGTCCTGGATCAGCAGGGCAGGCTCCGGTCTCCTCTCCACTGTGTGCGTGTCTTGGGGCATATATGGGTGTGTAATGAATGTGCGTGTGTACACGTAAATAAGGGTGAACTCTGCATGCACTGGCTTCCTCAGGTCTGTACAGGAAGTGGCTCCGTGCCCACCTGGCCCCCAGGTATTATTTTTTCCGGGCCAGGAAGGCCACACCAAGAATCACGGCTATGGCTGCCACGGCCACACCCCCAGCCACCAGCAGGGGGTTCAAGTTCTCGCAGGACCAGGGACCTGGGCACCCAGGCCCCCCACTGGCAGCCTCCCCCTCCTCTGCCCCGTCCCCAGGACCCTTGGGCTCCGAGGTTGCGTCGGGACTGCTAGGGCCCGTGGGGGCCGTGGGGGCTGGCTTCAGGTTGCTGTGGTTGTTGAGGAGGGCGGGGTCTGCCTTGGCCGGCGTCTTCTTGGCAGGCGCCGTGGTGGGGGCTGCCGGTGGCTGCTGCTTCTCGGCCGGGGCCTCCTTCTTCGAGGGCTTGGTCGAAGGGGCTTTCCCATCGGCTGCCGGGGGTACCTTGGCCTCGGTGGTGGCCTGGGGTGCCTTGGTGTCGGGCTTGGGGCTGCTGGCCGACTTCCCTCTGGACTCCATGGTGGGCGAGGCGTATGGGTCAGGCAGGTGGCTACACTGGGGGCTCAGAACAGCTCGCCGCCCCTGGGCATTCTACGGGCCTGGAGTGAGATACAGAAGGGCTGTGTGTGGGTCCAGTACTCCCGCCCCACACTGCCCCGAACATCTGGTCCCCAGGAAGCCCCTGCCCAGTTCTCTGGACTCCCTGGAGCCCCAGCTCAGGGACGTCCCGAGGGCCTCAGGCGCTTCTCTTCCAAGGCCTGGCCTCCGTCTGTCCATGACCACTCCCCAAGGGGCCCCTCCAGCCGCACAGGGTGGGAGGAGCTAGGGGCCTCCGTGTGCTCCTCTGTGAAACCCATGCAAATGCGGCAGGAGGCTCTCTGTGGGGAAGTGAGGCTGGCCCTGAGAACTGGAGGGAAGAGCATTCTCCCTTCCAAGGAGGGGAGGTGACAGGAGCCCAGTGGGAGAGCTGACGGCAACCCCTTCTTAGCAGAGCATTCCAGCTTTGCAGAGACGTACACTGAAGCCCCGAGGCTGCAACCTGGCCAGGGTCCTGGTGGAGGAGGGCAGGGAGGGGCAGGACCTGGGATCTCAGGTGGCCATCAGGGTGGGTGGCCCACGAGAACCCAGACTTGAGAAAACCGAGGTGCCTCTCCAGGCCGGCAGAGCGGGGCTGTGCCTCCTTGGGCCATCTGCCCCTCCCCAGCCTCTGGGGCCCCTTCCCCAACAGGGGACGGTGCCTCCCTCCAGCCCCAGGGCCAGAGTCCTTGCCAAGCCCAAGGCTGTGCTGTCTCTGTGGGCAGACAGTCCCTGGCATGAAACGGGGTGGGCACAGGCTGCATCTGGCCTGAGGGTCAGGGTGGAGGACGGGGTTCTGGGCGGTGGGGAAGGCGGTGACCAGATTCTCCACCACCCAGGCAGAGCTGGGGAGAGCCCTGGGGTCCGGCTGCCCTGAGCCTGAGTGGGTCTTGCCCCAGAGCCTTAGAGGGTCTTGCCCCAGAGCCTTAGAGGCCACCTGTCTGCCTCTCCCAGGGAAGGATGAGAAATCCCCTTGACCTGCAGGGAAAGGCACCCAGGGAGGCGCGTTCCCCGCCCCCCCACCAGGTGCACTGACCACACTGAAGGTCACCCGAAGGTCACAGCGTGATGAGGGCGTCTCCGGGAGAGGCCCAGCTGCTGCCGACTTTCCAGGGAAGCCCAGCCACCCCTTCGCCCTGGCAGCTCTGGGGGCCCGGCTGCTGGGCATCACGTTGGCAAAGGGCAGGCGGCCTGCGCCCCAACCTCGCCATTTGTGGCTCTCAGCCCCGGCCGCCGCCTCCCTTTCCCGGGAGCAGCCGCGCCCCGGAGAGCAGGCCCCACCCCCCCGCGCAACCCCGTTGACCTCCGAGGCTCGGAGCCACCTGCTCGCGCCTCGGGACCCCCGCCTTACGCGTCCTCCGGCCTCCCCGGGCTGCGCGCTCCTCGGCGGGGCGGCGGCGGCTGCAGACGCGGAGGACAGCCCGGGAGTTTCCCACAATGCACCGCTCCGGGCGCTGGAGGGCGGGGCGGGGCGGGGCGGGGCGGGGCGACGGAGGCCACGCCCCTCGGGGGGCCGCAACCCAGCTCCGCCCCAGACCCGGGGTGGGCGCCAAGCCTAGGCCGAGGAGCGCGGCCGCGGGGTTCAAGTCCCGTCCCTGACGGCCAGAGGCAGGGAGCGGGGGCGGGGCGGCACCCAGCATCCCCTCCAGGCCAGGGTGCCCCTTGGTCGGTGGGTGGGTGGGTGCGTGGGCCTGGCCCTGCAGTCTGAGGGAAGCCAGTTATGGGAAGGGGGCTGCCCTCCCCCACCCCCCGACAGACCCCCAGACCAGACCGACGGCAGCATCTACTTAGAATATTTATTTATCCTCTGACAAGACAAGACACAAAAAGTTACAGCTTCTTAAAACTCTTCAAAAGAAAAAAATATAATTCTGTAAGCAGCAGCAGCGGCTTCCAAGGTTCAGAGGTGACGGGAGGGGCAGCTCCCAGGAACAACCGTGAACTGGGGGGCCCGGGCCTGGGCCCCAAGTAGTGTCGCTGGGAAGGGGCCTCCGAGGAGGGCCCCGGTTTGGGGGACACAGCACCAGCACGATCACATGGCCGGGGTGGGGCAGGGAGAGCTTCGGCTCACAATAAGGATGGGCCGGGTGGGAGGACGGGGCTTCTGGAGTGTCGTCAAGGGCCTTCCTTATACAGAAGCCCAGAGAGAAAGGTGGGCCTGGAGGGGACTTGGGGGCGGCCCTCCCTCCTGAGCAGGACAGCCCCCCTCAGGCTCCACACTGCTCCCCATGCCTGCCCTGCTACCTGGCCAATCCCAGGCCAGGGTGGAGGACTCAGAAGAGAGGCCAGGCTGGGTAAGTTCGTTCCTGGACGGGGTCAACAGAGCCTGGGGCACACACAGCACACAGAATGTCTGGGCAGGAAGGAGGGCAGCCCCTGGCAGCCCCATACCCAAGGGCCAGGCCAGCTCCCCACCACACGCACGCACGCACGCACACACACACACACGCACGCACGCACGCACACAGACCTCACAGTCTGGGCCCCAGCCCGGGGTGGGAGCCAAGGAGGTCACCAGAAAGTCCCACCATGGGTAGGGAGCTTGCCCTGAGAGTCACACCCCAGGGCATTGCCCTGAGAGTCGAACCCCAGGGCAACCCTCGTTTGGGATTCCTAGCTCAACATGGAGGGTCTTGGACCCCAGTCCTCTTGCAAGTCGGGCCAGGGAGGCAGAGTCAGGCCCTGCCAAGGCGACAGGAGTAGCTGGGGAAGGACGGAAGGGCTGGAGAGCCCCTTGGTCCCAGCAGGTTCAATAAATAGGTTTGTGCAGGGTCCCTGTGTGGACCAGGACGGCTGTGGAGACTGGAGCCGGTATGGTCCAGCCTGTCCAGCCCAGGCCTGGAGCCCCCAGCCCAGAGACCAGCTCTGTCCCTGGGGGTGCTCAGGCCAGGGCAGGATTGGGGCAGGGGCTAGATTGAGGAATGTAAAGATTTCTGCATTTTCTACATAAATAAGACATTGATCCCAATGGTGTGGGCAGCACCCACATGGACCCTGCACCCCACCCCCTGCTGCCCCTGCCGACGGGGAGGGCTGGGGAGAGGTCTTCCCTTGCTCTGGCCTGCACTGGCTGCCTGGCTCCGGCCCCACACTGGCCCTGCCCGGCTGGCTGGGGTGGAGCAGGCGCTGGCTCAGGCCTGGGGGGCCTGCAGCAGCCCCAGCAGGGACTCTGCGATGCCCAGGAAGTAGACCACCTGTGCGATGCCAAAGAGGGGTGCGATGACCAGCGCACGGCAGTAGGCGCCCTTCAGGAAGGCCGAGGGGCCCTCATGCCGCAGGATCTTCCTGTGGAGGAAGGAGGGGCAGGTCAGCCCGTGATGCAGACCCCCAGGCCCCCAGGTCCACCCGCCTCGGGGAAGGAGGGGAGGGTCAGCCCTGAGCACAAGCAACACCCCCCTGGGGAAGGAGGGGCTGCACAGCCCAGTATGCAGGCCCCCAGGTCCACCCACCTGCCTCAGGGAAGGAGGAGAGGGTCAGCCCGTAAGCAGGCCCCCAAGCCCCACCTGCCCAATGAGGGGTGGGTCAGCCCTATGCACAGGCCACACCCTCTGAGGTGAAGGAGGGGAGGGTCAGCAGGTGCCCAGGCCCAACCTGGTAGGGGGCGGGGAGGGGAAGGAAAGGAAGGTCAGCTCAGTCTGCAGGCCCCCAGGCCCCACCCCCTGGCTGTGGCGAAGGAGAGGAGGGTCGGCCTGGTGTACAGGTCTGCAGGCCCCTGGGCCCCCCGTCGTGGGACCTCCCCACCTGGCACAGTCCAGGAACCCGGTGTAGGTGTCCTCGTTGACCCCCCGCTGAAGCGACTGGAGCCGCGTCTTCACCACTGCAAGGGGTGCTCAGGTCACTGTGTGTCTGGTCAAGGGCCTGCCCCCACCCCATTCCCAGCCAGGCATTGTCCCATGCGCTGACCGTCACAGGGGTTGACGGCCACAGCAGCTGCACTCCCGGCCACACAGCCGGCCAAGAAGGACACATAGAAGGGTGACTTCTCCTCAGACGCCGGGCGGCCCAGCTGGTTTAGGTTGGCAAAGAGCGGGAAGTAGACCACGGAGAAGGGAACGTCCCTGTGAGGAGGGCAGAGGCGGTGTGGACAGGAGGTGGCAGGGTGGGCAGGCCAGCCCTCCCTCCACCCCCCGCCCACACCCACCCTGTGCCTCCTACCTGAGCAGCGTGGCCCCGAGTCCCTTGTAGAGACCAGCAATGCCGCGGCTCCGAAGCAGGTCTCTGGTCAGCTGGGTGGCCGTGGGCCGAGGGGCAGCTGGAGCCTCCACTGAGGGCTGGGCACCCCCCTGGGCCGAGAGCTGGCCCTGGGCAGCCAGAATCTTCCTCTGGGCAGCTGGAGAGAAAGGAGCTGCTGTCTCTTCTGCACAAAGTGGGCAGGGGACACACTCTGGCTCCCCTCCCCCTCCCCTCCCCTCCCCCCTCACCGATGCGCCCTGCATCCTGCAGCTGGATCTTCAGCATCTCCATGGGCGTGGTCACGATCACCTGGCAGGTGCCAGCCCCGCAGCCCGCCAGCATCTCTTTAAGCAGGGTCAGCTTCTGCCTGTGGTAGGGACGGGGCCTCGGGGAGTTGCAAAAGACAAGTCTGCCTGCCACCCTCCGGGCTGCCCACTGTGCCTGGCTGCAGAGGATGCTGGGAGCCGTGGAGGCAGGCGCAGGCCTGTGGGGGTACAGCCTCCCTTCCTCCCACCTCCAGCCCTGCAGCAGCGGGCAGGAGGAGTCTGACGGACAGACGGGCCCACAGGCAGGGGCCTGGGAAAGGCAGTGGGGCTGTCTCCAGCGAAGTAAAATGGGAAATTGGGGGTTGGGTGCCCCAAAAAGGGGCTGCCCTTGCAGCCCCCTCCAGGGATGGGGGAGCCGGTCAGTGCCCTCAAGCCCTCACTCACACGGGTAGCAGGCAGTGGTTGGGGGCCAAGGACGGCCAGGCCAGAGCCCCACTGATTTGGCATCTACTCTGCTCCCTTCGTCAGGGAAAAGGAGGGAGCCTGCCCCACAAGGTCAAATAAGTCCCAAGCAAGGAAGGGAAGAAAGGCAGAGCCCCCAGGTGGGACCCAGCTGGCCAGGGGGACCCATCCTTTGTCTGAAGCCAAGGACCCCAGGCAGGCCCCTCACCCGTCCTTAGAGAGCTGATGTCGGAAGAAGTCGTTGGCTGCCAGCTTGATGGCCTTCTCGGGGGTGACAAGGGTCAAGTTCACAGCGGCTCCTGTGGAGCAGGGGGTCAGCTGGGAGACACACTGAGTGGCCTGGGTGGGGAGGCGCTCCACCAGGACTTTGCCTCCTGGCTGGCAAAGCCCCGTCCCCGTCACTCCTGGCCACCATCTCCTGCCCTCTCACCCATATTTGGGCCTGGTGTGGGCCAGGCAGGGCGGGGCCAGGCAGGGCCAGGCAGCACCTCTGGCTCAGGCTCTCCCAGGCCAGCTGCAGCTCCATCTATCTCTGATTCTGGGAAGCATCTTGCTGCTAAGGGCATGAGGGGTACCCCTGAGGCCTCCCTGAGGGGTTCTCCCTCCCTGGGGGCACAGAGGGTGCTTGTGCTGGCGGGGAGCTGGGGCCAGAGGTCACATGAGCGTGTGGTCTGGAGGGGCCAGAGCTTGGGGGAGGCGGTGGAGAGCCCCATCTCAGTGTCCCGAACTCAAGGCTGCAGAGCTGCCAAATCCAGGCTGCGGATTGTGTCCTAAGCTGCTTTGCAGTCGTGGCCCCTACTCCCTCCCATCCCCAGCCAGAAGGGTCCAGCCTGTCCCAGAAGGCAGAGGCGGCTGCCACCCCCACCTCAGAGGAGGCAGATGTGCCGTGGTATCTCACGCACCAGGCACTAAGCGGGGGTGGGGAGCTGCCACGGCTCACCAGGGATCCAGTCCCCCCACAGACACGTTCACGCTCACACGCCCAGCCCGAGCTGGCTGCCGTGCCCTGCCTCCCCCGCCGAGACTCCCGGGCGCTACCCAGGCCTGCCCGTCCCGAGCCGGGTGGAGCTGAGCCTCACCGCGGTACATGCCGAAGTAGCCCTCGGAGCGGATGGTCTTGATGAGGCAGTCGGACCTGTGGCCAAGGGGACGGGGTGAGCCAGGATGAGCCGGGGTGAGCCAGGGCGAGCGGGGGCCCGGGGCCCTGCACTGTCTAGGCTGACAGAAGGGGCCAAGTCTTCATCCCAGCCCCGATCCCGGTCCTGACCCACATGGGATTTCCCCCAGGCCCGCCTGCCTGTCGAGCAGGGTGGGGGCACAGCAGCAGAGCCCTGCCTCTCACGCTGCCCTGCGCTGGCCCCATGCCCGGCGCCTGCCCGCACACTCACATGCTCGTGTACATGCGCTGGCCATTCTGCTGGTTCTGCAGCCTGGTCTTGGCCAGGTCGATGGGGAACACACAGGTGACCCCGATCAGCCCGGCGATGCCGCCATTGATGAGCTTGGCTGGCAGGCTGTGTGGATACGGGGTGTCAGGACCAGCCTCCTCCACCAGGGATGGGGTGGGGGCGGGGCGTGTAGCCAGGACTGGAATCTGACCTGATCTGCTTATCAGCCATTTAACTCAATCGCACCCAGGTGGGAGCTGAAGAGGTGGATGCCAGGCAGGGGCGGGGCGGAGTCCGAGGCAAGAAGGCCTGGAGAGGGTGGGACCAAGGGGGCTGGGGGAAGGTGGCGGTGCTCCACCTTCAGGGTAATTTCCAGGCGTCAGCCCCCACTTTTTGTCCTGGAGGAAGAGGAGGTGGGAATGAGTGAGGGTGGGGCCACCCGAAGATAACCCTCCCCCAGCCTCCCTCTCACGCACGGCCCCTCGCCCACGACTCAAGGTTGAGCATACAGCGATGGGAGGCACCTGCTGCCCAGTCCCATGCCCACCCCTGGGACAGCCTGGCTTCCCTGCAATTCCCCCCCCACCAACCACTGGCGTCCTCCCAGCCAGCCTCTCACGCACGCTCACGCTTGGGCTCACGTGCACCCCCGGCCAGCTCCGGCTTTTAAAGGGCCAGGCGCCTCTGGGGGCAGTGCCAGGGGCCAGCGTGCCCACCAGAGCACCTCAATCTGGACAGCTGTGGTGACTGTCCCCCACATCCTTCAGCACAGACAGACCCAGCCGGCACCTGTCCCTTTCCCGCTAGGGGCTGGGGTCCTGGGTGCCCTAAAGCGCCCCCCACACCTGGGCTCAGCCACTCCCACAGCAGCTCAACCCTGCGCCTGCAGAGCTCCTCCCCAAGGAGAGGCCCACAGCCCCCACACCCAGCCCCTTGCCCACCTTCCTCCCCTCCACATCGCCAAGGAGTTTCACTCACAGACACACAGAAGCCAGTGATGGGACCCCTGGAAGCCTTGCGGGGGAACGGCTCTGAGGTTGGCATCCCCACCCACTACAGGGGAGGGGAGACCAGGCCTCTCCCACTAAGGGGCAGGGCCGGGGAGTCACAGCAAGATTCAGGGGCCTCCCATTCGGTCATGGCCATAACGTCTGAGCCTCAGGGGCCTTTTCCCCTCCCGAGGCCCCCCAGAGGCCAGCTGTTTTGGGCACCGGCAGCGCCATGGCCCAGGGCCACGAGGCTGGCTGACACCCGCAGTTCACCAGGGACTCGTGACCTTCACCTCGGCTTTCCAGGGCTGGCCCATCTGCCACCTACCGCTGACACGCCACCTGCCCCAGGCACTCACTCTGGACGGCTCCTCCACACTCCAGCCGGCACTCAGGCACTCACACCGGAGGGGAAGCTGCGGGGGTGGATTCGAGGGGCCGCAGGGATTGGCCATGGGGCGGGGTGGGGCGGGCCTGGGGGGGGGCGCCACTTTCTCTTTCACTTTGGGTGAGCAGAGGCTTCCTGTAGCCTTGAGAGGAGTAATGCGCTGGGGCAGGTCTGGCTCAGGCTGACCTGGCACGGCCACGCCACCCACTGACAGGGACCTCAGCCGTGGCCACCACACCCCCAGCATGCTTGGGTTCCTGTCGGCTGCCTGGAGGTTGAGCCCTAGGGCATTTCCTGGCCTGGATCTGTCTAGGGCTGGCACCCTGAGGATGAGGCTTTCTCAGGTACAGGGTACCCTCCATGTACTTGGACCAGGAATTTCAGTGTTGTGGGGCAGAGATGGGCTGACACCCACTCGTGTCTGTGGGATCTGTCTGCTAAAGGCAGATGCATGTCAGGGAGGCCACATGCTGGGGCACAAAAAAAAGGCCTACTGTCTACAGGGAAGGGCTGGGTGAGTCCCAGAGGCCACTGGTGCCACCACGGGCCCTGCTCACTTGGCAGGTCCAGAGGTCATGGGAGCTGGCACGCCCAGGGCACTCTGCCCCGCTGCGTGTCCGGCTCAGGGTTTCACCGCCAAGAGACCTGCCTCTCCCTGCCTCAGCCTGTGGTGACGAGCTGACCTCTGAACTTGGACCTGACCCCTCCCAGCCCCCCGACACCCCACTCCTGGGGTGCAGACTGGCCACAGCTCTCTCGGCTGCCCTGGGCTCTTCGTCTCCGCCCTAGTCACGCTGGGGATCCACCCCGGCCCTCCGGGGAGCCTGTCTCCAGCTGGCGGTGAGGGACACCCGCATGAGGGGGGCAGTCCTGGAAGTCAGGCTGAAAACGTGGGGAGGGGCCAGTCGTCCCAGGAAGACGCAGGCCTGGGCCGGCACACCACGCAGTGCCGCGGAGAGGCGCTTCTGGGTGGAGGGGCTCTGCCTGGGGAGGAGCCGGCTGGGGTCCCTCCCAACGCCAACCCCGCTCTCTGTCCTCACTCCGCAGTCCCCACCCCGGGCTTCTGAGACAGCTGGCCGGGGCCCTCCCCCGGCGCTGACGTTGCCATAGAAACCCTGCCCCGGCCGCAGCCAGGCCCAGGGCTGTGCGCCCTCACGGTGCCCCTTCACAGTCCGCTACTGAGACCGCAGCCAGCCAGGGAGAGCGCAGGCGGGCGGAGACCCCCCACGGGAAGACACCGCCGCTTCCGGATCCGCAGGAGTAAAATCCTCCACCCCCGAAGCCGCCAGGCTCCTCCTACCCCCAAGAAAGGCAATGGGGGTGAGGCTCCGAGCCTGGCACTGGCCGCCGGCTCCCCATTCAATCTCCCGCCGTCCCCGGCCTCTCGGGGCGGCGCTTCCCAGCCTGCTGGCCGGAGGGTCCCGGAAGGGGTCTCCAGCTGCGCGGGGCCCGGGCCAGGGGACAAAGGAGAAGCGGGCCGGGGCCGGCTCAGGGCCTGCCTCACCGCCGGGGCTCAGCCGGCCGCGCACGTGTCCGCAGACGTCCGGTGACAGCCCCCGTGTGCCCACAGAGCCCGGCCTCCCTCCTTGGGCTCGGGCCGCGGGACCCACCCTCGGGGACACGTGTGTGCGGGGCGCGCGCCGGCACGGTCGGGGCCGAGCACGGCCTCTCCCGCCAGGGCAGCGCCGGGTCCGGGACCCCCGCCCCAGCCCGCGTGGCCCCGGCAGCTGTCACCTCCCCGGGCCGCCGCGGCCCCGCTCGGACGCGCGTAGCGAAGGGAGCCGCGGGGCGGACACTCACCGGCTCGCCGCCGCCGCCGCCGCGCTCGCCTCCCCGCCGCGCCGCGCGCTCCGCCCCTCGGCCTCCGCCGGGCTTCGGCTCCCCCTGCCGGCCGCAGAGACGACTGCGCCGGCCAGGCCCACGGCCCGCGCCGCCCCCGCCCCTTTCCCTCCCCCGCCCCCCGCCCCCCTCCCCCGCCCCCTGCCCCGGGGAGGTGGCAGTTCTGCGCGCAGAGGCCAGGCTGCACCACCCCAAGGTCCTTTCTTGGTTTCCAGGCCTCAGGCCCCTGCAGGGACAAGGACCCGCGGGGCGCGGGCAGGTGGCAGAGCGCCGGTGGATAAGGGTGTCCTGGGGGAGGCACGGTCTCCAGGTCAGAACAGGTGCTCGGTGGACCTGCCGGGGCCAGCGCAGAGGGCCAGTGGGCAGGTGGAAGCACAAGCCCGCCTGCCGAAAATCGACTTTGTATCCAAAGCAGCCCCCTTGGAGCCAGGTGCCTGCAATCTCAGCACGTGGGGAGGCCAAGGCAGGCAGATCACTTGAGGTCAGAAGTTCGAGACCGGCCTGGCCAATATGGTGAACCCCCATCTCTACTAAAAATACAAAAATTCGCCAGGTGTGCTGGCAAGTGCCCCTAGCCCCAGCTACTGGGGAGGCTGAAGCAGGAGAATCGCTTGAACCTGGGAGGCAGAGGTTGCAGTGAGCCGAGATCAGGCAACTGCACTCCAGCCTGGGTGACAAACTCCTTCTCAAAATAAAAACGAAGTAGCCCATTTGGGCTACCGTGCAGCACAGGTCCTCCCTCCCGGGAAGATCAGGACCCACCGGAGGCCCCAGGCACAGTGGGAGGGGACAGGACCAGGCTGTGGGGCATGTGTTCAGGCAGGGCTCCCTCCCAGCAGGGCAGGGCCTCTGATGACCCCGCCACCCCCCTCCCCGCCCTGCAGTGCTTTCTCCGTCCAACAAATCAATCAAGCTCTGAAATAGCGAATCAAACAGTTCAGGTTTGATGCCCATGGGGAACCCTGTCCCCACACACTGGAGAGGCCGGAAGGTGGGAGCTCTGCCCATCCGCTGGGAAAAGTCCAGGCCAGCCGGAAGTCTGTGCCCTAGGCCTGGGCAGGCTCTGAGGGCTGTGGGGCCGACGAGCCAGGCACCTCGGGGTCCTTGGGGGCCAAGCCTGTGCGCTGGATGCTGTCCTGGTACTTGCGGCGGCCAAGCTCCAAGACTGCCCGGACCTCTTCAGCCACGTCCTTCCGGTCACTCTGCTCCAGGGCCTGCACCAGGAGCACCACAGCCCCCGGCTGCCCAGCCTGGCGCTCAGCCCAGGAGAAGAGCATGTGACGGATCTGCCCGTCCAGATCATCCCTGTGGGCAGAGGATGGGGACACAGGGAGTCCTGCCCACCTGCCCAGTACCCCCACCACGCTCTGCCTCGGGCTTGTCTGGGCCAACCTCGGCCACATGGTTCCTTTCCAGCCTGGTGTTTGCGCCTCCCCCACTTCCCCTGGAAGAAACTTCTGGCAGCATCAGGCGGGCCCCCCAGGCGGCCAGTGGAAGCCTCACCGGAACTCGTGCCGGATGCGCTGCAGCTCTCGGTAGGACATGCCCAGGTGCAGGGCCACCGCCGGCCAGTCTGGACCCAGGCGCCCAGCCACGCTCAGGAGGTTGCTCTGCGTCAGAAAGCCAGTCTCAGCATCTCCCAGGTTCAGGGGTGCCAAGGAGAGGCCAGCCCCCCGCCGTGGCCCTTCGGGCCCCCGAAGCCTCTGTTGGAAGGAGAAAGAGCAGAAAACCCTGGGCTCCGTCCCAGACTCCACCGCGTGCTTCTGGGCTCCACCCCTGGGCCTCGGTCCTGCCCCCACCCCTCCACTGTCCCTCAGTCCCACCGGCAGCTTGATGGGCAGAGTGGCCATCCACAGGGCGTCTGCGCCCTTCCTCTGCCGGGCAGCCTCCGCCTCCTCAGGCACTTGCACGGGCACTGCACCACGGTAGAAGGACACCTGAGGGGGCATTGAATGGGGTTCAGAGCTCGGCCCTGTGCCCAGGCAGCCTGGGGGGCCCACCCCCTCGCCCACCTGGCCCCGCACAGCCTGAGCCTCCCGATCCAGGGTGGTGGTCACGTACACCTCCTTCACATTCTTCAGGTGTGAATAGAAGACAAAGCAGATTCTGCCCTCCACGCAGTCAGGGCGGTCTAGGGGACGGGGGGGGGGGGGGCGGGCTGAGCAGGGGGCGCAGGGAGGACAGCAGGGCTCCCTCTCCAGGACGGGGCGGCCCTACCAGCATCCACGTCAATGCCTCGCTCGAAGGCCGCAAAGAACTCCTCGCCCTCGAACATCTCCACCGTGTCGGAGGGCTCCGGGCCACGGTAGCGCTCCAGCAGCCGCCGAAGGGTGGCGTCCACCTGCAGGGACGCCGTGCAGCTCGGCAGCCAGAGTCCGGCACCCCAGCCCTCTAGCCACCGCCCCGAGCCCCCGAGCCCGCGTCCCCACCTTGTTTCGGGGCAGGCACTGCAGCAAGACCTGCTCGGGGTCCCGGCGCCGCTGCAGGGCGATGAGGTTGACCCGGTGCAGCCGCAGCCGCTCCCAGGCCTTCCGAGCCAGGCCTCCCACGCAGTTCTTGGTGGTGTACCAGAGCCAGTACCTGGGGGGGCGGGGGTGAGGGAGGAGGCTGAGGAAGCCGGGGCACTGACGGTGGGTAACCCCCGATCTGGGCGCCGAGGAAGGAGAGCTAAGCAGATCCCCGGCAGGATTAGCGCCTGAAAAATGTCTTGGTTTACGGTGTTACTCCTCAGTCACCGCCTTTATAATCCTTTACATACCATCACGTATTAATTTATAGTCTGAACAATTAGTGCCTGAAGAACACCTTACTACCCAGTTATTTCTCTACATGTATACAATTATATCTTAGTTCATAGAGGCATGTCTAGAGCACACACGGTGCAGAGCATGAGTTAAGCAATAAACAGCTATACATATATAATCATATCTTGCTTATAGTCAGAGGAACGTCTAGAGCAGACACGGTGCAGAGCATGAGTTAAGGGAAAAACAGTTACACCAGGACAAGAACCTGGCCCAGGTGGCAGCGTTCAGTACCGTAAAGATACCCGCTGTGTGGCAGGCTTGGAGCAAGAGCCTCTCCCCCTGATAAAGGAGTTGCAGGACCTTGCTCCGGTTCTTGTGGAAGGCTCCCTCAGACCGGCAATCCCGCGAGCATCCGAGGGCTTAAAACCCCTCCGGATAGTTGCACCTTGGTGACTAAGAACTTCATCAGCTCTTGTTACTGTGCTGACTCAAAAGCATCCTCCTACAGAACTCACTGGAAGCTGCCAGCAGGTGGCTGTGGACCTTGTCAGCTCTGCTGCTGCTCAAAGCATCCTCCTACAGAAATCCTTAGAAGTAGCCTGCCCCTAGACAAGAGATATTGTGCACTGCACTCTTCACTGTGCATGGCCCACCTCCTAGCCTAGGTGACCTAATGGGGGTGGACCGCTCGTCTATTGCCCACGTGATTGTCTTGACCCTATCACTGTCCTTAAGATGACCTCACTCACGACCCTTCCCCCTGTCTGGTACCCAATAAATACAGACGCTCCTGGATATTCGGGGCCTCGCCTTCTGCTCATAGGTGGCGTGGTCCCCGAGCCCAGCTGCTCTTCTCCAGTCCTTCTGTCCTGTCTCTTTATTTCTCGCATCCTGTGCCTCCGCACAGCACAAGGGACACCCCACAACCCTGTGGGGCTGCGGCCCTACAACTGACCAGGAGAAGTGTGTGACCTGGAAGCGTGCGTACAGGTGGGTGAGCTCCAGGACCACCTGCGCTGTGATGTCATCCCAGGTGGCTGCAGGAGGGGCCCAGTACAACAGGTGCAGACGGGAGCGGTCCAGACTGAGGCCTGGGGACGGGAGGGGCAGCAGGCTGAGGCCTCCTGGCCGGAGATCCCCTCCACCCTATGGCCACAGGTCCAGGTGTGCCCTACGGCCGCCTCTCACCTGTGACACCAGAGGGCAGGGGCAGCTGCACGGTGATGGGTCGGAGGAAGCTGGGGGGGCCGCTCTGCGAGAGGCACAGCAGGGGGCTCGCTGCGGCCTCTGGCTCTCCCAGGAGGGCTCGCAGCTCTCGGCCAGGCACGCGCACCACCTGCGGCGGACGGGCCCCTGAGCACCTGCCTGTGGGCTGAGGTGCCGCCTGCCACCCTTGGCGCTCCCCTGGCCGCACCTGCATGGAGACTTGGCGAGGCTCCTCAGTGGCCCCAGCAGGGAAGATGACCTTGACCCCAGGATGACCCGAGGAGCACAGCAGCGTCCCCTCTGGTGGCACCAGGCAGGCGTCGGACACAGGGCGGGAGACCACAAGGAACCAGGAGAAGTGGGGCACCTGGCAGTGAGCCCAGAGCCGCTGGGACAGGCGAGGGGGACAGTCAGAGGAGCCGGGGTCAAGGCACGGCCAGCCGGGGACATGGAGGGACTGGATCCAGGACAGACGGGGCGGGGTGGAAGGTGCCAGGGTGAGGCTCTGGGCAGGGGTGCATGGCACGGGGCAGCAGCTCCCCACTGGCCACTGGCAGGCCTGGGTGACCCTCACCTTGGGTGCCTCTTCCTCCAGGAAGGTCTCCAGGTCGCTCCAGCTGCTGTCATTCCGGGTCCTGACCACCACCTCACGGCAGCGCCGGGCCCGTGGGGGCGTGAAGAGCAGCCACAGGCCCACATCCTGCCAGGAAAGGGCGGTGTGAGGGCTGGGGCCAGGCCTGGGTCCGCACACCCCCACCATACCACCCCCCACCACACCCTGGCTATGCCTGCTGGAAGGCCACCCCGTGGGGCTGCAGCTCCAGCACACGGCTGAGCAGGGCGTCATGAGGGCCCAGGGGGACGAGGCCCGGCTCTGGCAGCAACAGCCGATAGCGGATGGTGATGGGGGTGATGGTGGCCCCTGCTGGGAACTGCAGGCGGACGCCACAGGCCAGGGTCACGGAGCAGCCTCCAGGGGTCACAGGAAAGCTGAGTGAAGAAGAAGCGCGCGCCGGGTCAGACCCACAGGGGCCTACATGTCAAGAGCCTGGACTCAGGAACTCTGGAGGAGGCGTCGGAGGCGCCAGGGCGCCAGGCAGACAGACACCCCTGCAGCCCCCTCGCCCCGCCCTGTACCTGTCCAAATCTGAGGTCAGGAAGAGTCTGGGCATTTCTGGAACGAAGGCTGCCCCTGTGGAGGGTCAGACATGTGGCTGGGACACTGAGGAGGCCACGTCCAGTCCCAGGGCCGCCCCTCTAGCTCCAGACCTACCTGGGGAACTCGGGGCATCTGGCGAGGCCTCGCCCAGGGGGTTCCCCTGCAGGCG